GGCTGTGCTCTGTACTGCAGAGGCACCCGCAGGCAGGATCGGGGCCACAGTGAACTGCATGGGACTGGGTATTCCGGGGGGCTGCCCAGGCTGCCCCCGCCCCTCAGTGCACGTGGTTCTGTTAGGAGTGCAGGGGCCTGGATCAGAAACTAGTTGAAGCCCGAACCAGCCCACGCCCTGCTGTAATCGCTGAACTACTCTCCTCCCATTAGCCCTGGAAAAGGGACCCAGGAGTCCTGACTTCCTCACCCATCCTCTTCACCCCGCCCCACTCCTGTCATGAGCTTCCTTCAGTCCTTCTCTGGCTCTTTTTTCCCAGGCGGGTGCCCTCTCGCCCCTCCTGGCCGAGCGGCTGGGATGAGCAGTGTGCAGACCGGGCGCAGAAGGCAGGGGGACCAATCCGGATCTCCCTGCCCGACGGCCAGCAAGTGGAGGGGGAGTCCCTAAGAACCACGCCGTATCAAGTGGCATCACAAATCAGGTACTGGGTGCATTGCGTGTTCGCACCCTGCGAACGGTCGTCTGCTTGTAGATCCTGGGGGGGGGGGGGTTGCCTTAGGCCAGGAAACCAGGAGCATCTGCCACAGACACGAACGTGCTGCTGGTTGGCAAATGCTGGGCATAGGCTGCTGCATTGATTTCTGCGAGGGGTCCGGTTTGGCTACGCTCGGCTGGACTAGGGATGTAAAATCCCCTTTAAGCTGTTTACCGGTTAAACGTTAAATTTAACCAGTTAACCGCTTAAACAGGGGCATGCCCATGGCGTGGCACGGTGGGTCTGGCTGGCCTGGAGCGGACCCACTGCATGGACTCCAGCCTAGCTAGGCCACCAGTTCACCAGTAAGCATCATCTGTTAAGGGTGGCGCTTACTGGGTAAGCGGTGACATCACTAAGAAGGACTCTGGTCGATGGGATTTGGGCCCCAACTCCTCCTTTGACAGCGTGGCTCTGTCCCCGTTTAGCGACGGCTGGTCCACATGGAAGGCCGGGGCTGACGGAGCTGGGTCTTTCAGCTCCTGCTCTAGAGCTTGTGCTTTTAACACCAGAGATTCCTGGTGCCCATGACCTGCCTGGGGCGCAGCGTGAGTGGTGGCTCGTGAGCTGGGAAGACTCCCTCCCTCCCCCATGCCTCCAGCGGGGGTGAGGTGCAGCCTCTGCCCTAGCAGCCCCACACTGGGCGTTGGCAGAGCCAGTGCTGCACTGAAGGGTGGTGGGTCGATGAGAAAGGGGTTTGTCTGCTGTAGCTGGTTGGTTTTCGGGTTGCAGAGGCCCCCTGGGAGCTGGTGCGAACTGGCTTCTTGCTGGCAGCCTCAGCCGAGAGAGTCCTGGGGAGAATGGGTCTTAGAGACAGTCTGTCTAGCTCAGGGTGGGGGGTACAGGAGAGAGCTCACTGTCTAGTTCCCCCTGGTTCCAGGGTCCCTTCCCTGCCATTAAGTCCCCCTGTCTGGCCGGTCACATGCCCTGTTCTGAAGTGTGTTCTGTCGCGTCTCTCCCTCCCAGCCAGGGCCTGGCTGAGGGTGCCGTGGCCGCCAGGGTGAACGGGGCCCTGTACGACCTGGATCGCCCCCTGGAGAGTAACGCCACCTTGGAATTCGTAGGCTTTGATTCTCCGGAGGGGCAGGCGGTGAGTGTGTCTGGCATCAGGCTGATCCTTTGCGGGGAAGGAGGCCCCTGGTGCTTGGTGGGAAGGGAGCCAGGACCGTGTCTCATCTGGGCTGTTTCTGCGGCTTCTAGTTTCTGCCCCTTTAATGCATCTGCCGGACTGTTGGGGTCGCCAGAGAGGCTGGGCCTGATGGGCGTTCTTTGTAACTGTGCTTTGCAAAAGCATCTCGCGACCATGCCCTAAAAGCCCCCCCTCCTGCAGCTAAAGCAACCACCCAAGGTGCGTAAAGGTCAGATTTTGATGCACCTGGTTTTCCTGCATGGGACTGTGGTTTGCGGGCCTTGATTTACAGAGTCAGTCAGGCGGGCTCAGGATTTCCTGCCGAGGGATCCTCGCAGCTCCCTGGCTCCGTCGAGGAGGATACCAGAAGGCTGCGTGCCTGTGTGCTCAGTGATGTGGGCCGTGTCCACTTGGGCACTTAATCTTCATAGCAGACCCCAAGATCACACACCAGATAAGAATCAAAGGTGCCAGGCCAGGGTTAGTGTGAAGCAAAGTACAGTCACAGCTGTCAGTAGGCTCTACCGAACCACTACGCATATGTCCCCCATAACAATGGAATGACTCAGTCGGAGAGGCCCCACTGCCCCCCTGGTCCAAAGACTATCCCCCCAAGACACCACTTTATAGACAGACAAGTTACACATCATTCCTGACGTGTCTGGTTGCCACCCTCTGACGTGGTTAGGTTACCGCTCCCTGACACTCCTATATACCACCCATCACCCTGCGCCTCGTGGTTTGATTACATCATCTCTGTCCATCGTGCTGTCATTTTAGACCCTTTCCTGAACCTGGGTTTGTATCTGTGAGGAGTGTGGGTACCAGGGTCCTTTTTAGTGAGCTGGTACTGCCATGTGCTTTCAAGCTATGGCCAGTACCAACTGCTGTTGTACACCTGGGCCTATTACCAATGAGTGTTTTGCTCTCTCCACCCTGTTTGTGCCAAGTTGTGTGAGCAGGGGCCGGCCTCTTGCTCACAGCTTAGCTTTGCTTTATTTTAACCATGTTTGGCCATTGTTAGCTAGGTCTCAGGCCAGGCCTGTGCTACATGGGCTTATGTTTTAGGCCTTTATCTTACTACATTCCCCCACTTTGTTTTTTCTGGAGAGGGTGTTTTCCCGGGAAAAGCACAATGCTTGGACTAAAGGTGACTCAGTGGTTTAAACACAGTTATGTGGACACTTTACCGTTCACACATTCATGCCCCGTCTGTCCTTTAGTCTGCACCTTCCCTTGTACGACTGATGGACAGATTTTATTTGCTAGTTGTGTTTAGTCCCTTATGTTAGGCCCGGGACACTGACTGAGGAATGTAGTTTATGAAGTCCTCCCAAATCATAGCTGTATAGGGGCATATAGTATGTTTGTGCACATACGGCACAGACATATAACAATTTATTTTCTTATTTGCTGTACATTTGGCCCTTCTGATACTGCAGGTAGCACAACCTCCTATTAGAGAATTACAGTTATTACCTGTATCATTCTAGGTAGTGGGGTGAGTGTTATGGAATACGGGATAGGCATTGTGACAGTGTGTCCCATGAGATACTGTGTATGAAGTAAAACAAATTTGGAGTAGTGACATTACAAATGAGGCCTTGATATGTAATTGTCTTGTAATTATTTACTTCTCGGTACTGTCCTTTCACGTTCTGGGTTATCCTTACTGCTGGTGTCACCCTCTCCGATAAGCTTTGCTGGGCAGGAAACAGGAACGGTGAACTTCTCTGTTTCAGTGCTCTGTGATACGCTGGTAGTTGACATAGGTCCAGTTGTTCCTTACGGATGCTGTCTTTCAGGTACCCTACTGAATGGAGAGGAATCAATTTGTCAAATATTGCTGTATCAGCATTTAGCATAGGTGTCCGGACTAGAGATGTAATCGTGCAGTCAATTAAGCGATAAGCAAAAGCTTAGAGGTTAATGCTATAGACTACACGCATGTCCCTCCCTGCCAACCAGTAAATTTTTTAGCAGGCTGGCCAGCAGCCCAGCTCAGTTCTGGCTCACGCCGGGTGCGGGACCTACCCCAACTGTGGCTCTGCATTTACAGCGTATTAGGAACCGGACAGGCAGGCAGCCCGGTTCAGTTCCGGTTCACGCTGGGTCCAGGAGCTCAGACCCCGCCCTCCGCAGACAGGGTCTGCTGCCACCCCGCACTGCAGCAGCACAAGGTGACAAGCAGCTGGTCCACAAGAGGAGCTGGTTTTTGAAGTGGCTCCCCACGTGGACTAGCTCCCACCTGGCACCCCACGTTGCTGCTGGCCCTGCCCCTGGTGACTAGAATAGTCGACTAACCAATAAGAATTTATGAGGTTACTCGACTATTCCATTAACTGATATTTAACAGCCCATTGCTCTGCCCACTAGATAACACTGCTCCCTGGGAACAAGCAGACCCCGCCCCGACAATAGGTGATGGCTTTTGGCTCCCACACTGAGCGAGCGCCCCATATGTGAAGGGCTGCAGGGGTTCTGCATTAAGCCAATGCTGGGCGTCATTGCTGAGATCCCAACTGGCCGGAGCCGTGTGGGGCACAGTGGGCCGTCTGTGTGACTCCAGCCCTCTTCCCTCCCCAGGTTTTTTGGCATTCCAGCGCCCACGTCCTGGGAGCGGCAGCGGAGCGATTCTACGGAGCCCTGCTGTGCCACGGGCCCAGCACAGAGAACGGCTTCTTCCATGACATGTACCTCTCAGGCCGGTAAGGGGCTGGCGTAGCCCAGCTGGGAATCCTTGCAGAGGGCCCGGCGGCATCCTGGAAAGGGGTGCCCAGCCAACGCTGTTGCGAACAGCAGTTGCTCTCAGGAGCCAACAGATCCAGGCTGTCAGGGCTGGACTAAGGGGTGGGCGAGCCGGGCAGCTGCCCAGGGAGCCAACCGATGGGGGGCGCCTGATGACAACTGTAAGGGG